TGAATAATTTGTATAAAATTAAAAATTAGTGAAGAAAGATTTAAAAAGAGAGAAGTTGATAGTATTTGTTTTGGTTTTTTTTTTCAAACTTTTGTTTTGAATTTTTTGGTTTTCATTTTTAAGTCTTTGATATTGTTTTTTTAATAACTATTTTATTTTCTTTTTATATTCACTTAATTTAATACTTTTTTATTTTTTGATTTTACTTTTAGATTTAGATTCATTTAATCTAAATATACTTGGCAAAAAATTTGTTGTATATTTTTTTTGGGAAAAAAAATAAAAAAATAATCATTATGATAATAATAATAATAGTAACAAAAATATATATATATATATATATATAATAATGCTTGAATTTTTAAATTTTTTTACTAATATTTTACTTTTTAATTCTATTTAGATTATTGGATATTAGATTTTCATGTAAAAGTATAATTTAAATATAAAATATGAAGAAATTTTACTATCTTTATTCATTAAAATTGAGAAAATATGAAAACTCAAAAACTGAAAAACAAATTTAAAAAATAAAACCAACGAAAGTAATTCTTATTTAGAATTTTGACATCATATATTGTTTATTAAAGTACTATGTAAAATATTGCGGTTCATACAAAATAATCTAAACAAAAAGCAAGTGTATGAAGACAACCTGCAAAATTTTGAGAGTACAAATCTCTATTTTAAAAATGCATGTGTTTTCCTCTGTCTAGATGCAAACGAATGCATACAACTTTAATTAAAATTATTCACAGTGATTTGATATATGATGAACAATTGTAAATATTATGTATATTAGTATAAAAGTAGGCACAAGAAATAAGAAAGTAATTATTTTTTGTTCCACAATCATTATCAATGTAAAAAAATAGGAAGACGATTTTTTTTTTTTTGATAAGAAGGGAGGTGGTGTGTTTATATTTATATAGCACTCTTGAAAGTAGATGTATCATTTTTGAATGTTCAACTTCAAAAATAAAGAGATAGTTGGTTTATATAGGCCTTTTCATGACTTTTAGAAAATATAGTAGATTTATGAAGGTAAAATTGAGATTTAAAAAATAAAATAAAAAATATGATAAACTCTTCACACTTTTATAATAGTAATAGATAATTGATATTATGAATATACAAATATTTAATGATTTGTTGACTAGGATTATTAGGACACTTGCTAAATAATAATAACAATAATAATCGTCAAATGAAGAAACTTGATTATTTGAATAAAGTAGATTTGTTTATTCCTATAGTATCTTTTATATAATAGTAATTTCATTGGACTATAAATTTTAACAATTTCACTTAAAAAAATCTTTCTAAAGTGATCTGTTAAAAGAGTTGTCGAAAAACGACATTGTCAAAATTATGATAAATTTCACCCTTCAAAATAAATAAATAATAATAATAATCACTACAATATATAAGAGTTTTAGAGATTAAATTTTTTAGTTTCTAAAAATGAAAATTTTGTTGTAAAAGATATTTAAGAGCCAATTTCTATCGTCGTGAGGATAGTCGCTAAAAGGTCATCTCGAAAAGTAAAAAATAAGGCTTTTAGCGACAATTTTGAAAATGTCACTAATAAATATGCTTTTAGGGATAAAATAATTTGGCCTCAAAATATTTTAATTTTTTTAGATAAAAAATTTGGTCCAAAAAACATAATAATTCATCACTAATCACTAAAAGAAAATTGGGCTTAAAAGACAGAACTATTTGCGACGGCACACTTGCCGTCTCAAAAAGTCACTTTTTGCGACGACAGAAAATGTTGTCTAAAAAAAGAAGAATATTTGCGACGGCACCATTTGTCGTCTCAAAAAACCAGAACATTTGTGACAGCACCATTTGCCATCTCAAAAAAGCAGAGCATTTGTGATGGCACAATTTACTGTCTCAAAAAAGGAGAGTATTTGCAACGGTATTTTCTGTCGTCGCAAATACTCTGCTTTTTTGAGACGACAAATGGTGCCGTCGCAAATACTTTGCTTTTTTGAGACGGCATTTTCTACCGTCGCAAAAAGTGACTTTCATGTTTTTTTTTTTTTTTAAATATTTTTTTAGATGCACCTTACTTAGATGTATCTAAAAAATAAAAAAAATTATGAAAAAATATTTTTAAAAATTAATAAATACATAAAAATACAAAAAAAAAATGTATTAAATTTTTGTATTTTTTTTTGTATTTTTTGGTATTTAATGAATTTTTAAAAGATTTTTTTTACAATTTGTTTACTTTTTAGCTGTATTTATGTTAGGTATGTCTAAAAATTAAAAAAATTACTTAAAATATTAAAAAAATTCAGTGAAAACAATATAACACGGAGAACAAGAAAGTATAATTTTCTCAAAAGAGTTTTTGGAAAATTCTAACCTAGCATAGTGATTGTGGTTTTGAGACAGTATCATATATATACAGTCACAAAATGGTTTGAATAAATGCAACAATATTTTTCTGTCGTAAAAAAAATTATGTCGTCTTACTCTTTTGATATAACATTTCTCTTTTCATTCATTTTTTCATCTTCATGTCTCTCTGTCTCTATCTCTCTGTCTCTTCTCTTTATCTCTTTCAATCATCACTCTTCTTTCTCTGTCTGTCTGTCTGTTTCTCTCTCTCCTTTTCTCTTTGTGTCTCTCGCCTATCTCTCTTCTCTCTATCTCTCTCATCTGTCTGTCTCGCTCATCTCTCTTCTCTCCATCTCTCATTTCTTTTCTCTTTCTCTTATCTTTCTATCTCTCTTGCCCATCTCTCTTCTCTCTCTATTTCTCTCTTTTTCTGTGTCTCTCTCTTGTTTATCTCTTTTCGCTCAATTTCTCTCTCTTTTTGTCTATCTTTCTCGCCCATCTCTTGTTTCTCTCTCTTTTTCTATCTCTCTCTCTATCTCCCTCTCTTTCTCTCTTTATCTCTTTTTCTGTCTATCTTCCTCTCACTCTCTCTCATTCATCACTCTTCTATCTCTCTCTTTCTCTGTCTGCTTGTCTATTTGTCTATTTCTCCCTCACTATGTTCGCCTTGTTCACTCTCTTCCTTCCATCTTCTCTATTTATCGAGCTCCTTCTCGATTTATCAATCCACTATAAGAAAATACACTTTTAGCAACCACTTTGTCTCTCTCTCGCTCATCACTCTGTCTCTGTCTCTGTCTCTCTTCTTTATCTGTCCCTTACAAAATTAAAATATTTAAAAAATTGATTTGAATTAAATTTTGAAAAGAGTTTTGAATTATGTGTTTGGTTATGAGTTTTGAAAAGTAATGATTATATTTTGAATTGAGTTTTGAAAAATAGATATAGAATTATGATTTGAAAGGTCAAAACAAACACCATACTTAAATCAATGGGTGGAACTATGACCACCACCACTACTGCCACTATTATTACCATTACCTCTCATCCACCATCGCCACCACTCCACTACCATCACTACCACTACTGCCACTACTACTACCATTACCTCTCCTCCACCACTGCCACTTCATCTCCTCTACCACTTCTATAACTTCACCACTAATCTCCTTCGCCACCACCACCACCACCACCACTACCATCTCTTGTCCACCACATTCACTACTACTGCCAGTCCCTCTCCTCTGCTACTCCCATTTTAGTAACAAAAAAAAAAAAAGGGCCGCAGAAAAATATTTTTCATTGACCACAAAAAATTAACTTTATTTTAATGGAAAATATTTTTCATTAAAATATTACCCTTAATTCTACCCAAAAAAAAAAAAATCATTAAAATAAAAATGAAACAAATAAATTTTCAACCTTAGTAATTAAAAAAATAAAAAATAATTTTTTTTTCATTACCCCTACTCATCACTGTTTGTCTTTTTATCTGTGTCTTTCTCTCTCTCTCTTTCTCTCTGTTTCACACTGTGCTCGCATTGCTCACTCTCTCCATCCCCTTTTATTGATTTACCGATCTCCCTTTCGATTATAGATCTTTTTTTCTCTCTCTCTCTCACTCATCACTCTTCTCCCTGGCTCTCTCATCTCTCTCTGCTCTCTATCTCTCTTGCTCATCTTTCTTCTTCTTCTTCTCTCTCTCTCTCTCTTTCTATGTCTCTCTCTATATCTCTTGTTCATTTCTTTTTGTTGTTTCTCTCTCTCTCTTTCTCTCTCCCTATCTCTCTTTGTCTATCTCTCGCTCATCTTGTTTCTCTCTTTTTTTTTCTCTGTGTGTGTGTGTCTCTCTCTCTCTCACTCATCACTATTCTCTCTGGCTCTCTCATCTCTCTTGCTTATCTTTTTTCTCTCTCCTTCTCTCTCTATATCTCTTGTTCATCTCTTTTTGCTGTCTTTCTCTCTCTCTCTCTCTCTCTCTCTCGCTCATCTTGTTTCTCTTTTTATTTTTATTTTTATTTCTCTCTCTCTCTCTCTCTCTCTCCCTCATCTCTCATCTCTCTTCTCTCTTAATCGTTCATTTCTCTCTTTCACACTCATCTTTTTCTCTGAGCCCATTATTGTTGAAAGACAAAAAAGTCAAAAAATGAAATGGGTCTCCCTCTCTCTCTCTTTGTCTCTGTGTCTCTCGCTCATCTCTCTTTTCTCTCTCTTTCACTCATCTCTCTCAAAAAATGAGTTTACGTTGGTTTTTAAACATAAAACTAAAAATTTGACTAACGATATTTTTTTAATTAATTGTTTTTCAAATATTTTTTTAATTATTTTTTAAAATATTTTTTTTCAAATAAATTTTTTTCAATTAATTTATTTTTTCAATTAAAATTTGTATGATCTCATTGTCATAAATAATAAAAAAATACATATAAATATTTTAGGCCTGGATAAACATGTTTTTTAGTTTATGTTTTTAATTTTTTTAAAATATTTTGTTCAAATGCATTTGTAATTTATATTTTTCTAAAAATAAACAAAAATCAATTTATAAAATTTTTGTAAACATAATTAAAAATATAAATCTTATCAAACTTGCCTTAAATTTTCATCTGAGCTAGTTATGCTTGATGTGGCAGGAAAAAAAAAAAGCACAAATTCTGATTCCCGCTCGTTTTTCCCCCCCTCAACCAAAATTCCCCAAATCTCAAATACCTAATTTTTGAACCAAAAATCCCCATCTCTCTCTCGCGACTGTGAGCACGGCAGATGATGGCGTCGAGCGACGGGGTTAAGGAGCCTCACTCTTTTGTTTCTCACTCCATTAGCTTTCCCTCTGCTGCTCTCATTCTAGTGGTGAATGAGCTGCTCAGGGACCACCGCAGCCATTAATAGCAGGCTCGAAGCTTTCAGCTTCAAGAACATCGGTCCGCTCAGATTCGCATGATTGAAGAGACTCTCCGATTCGCCGGTGTTCCTGGTGCGGTCTGATTTCTTATATCTTTCTGTCTATCTGAATATATTTTGATGATTTCATTTCATTTAAATAAACAGGACATTCTTATATTTTGCAATTGTTTTGTTGAATCCACGATGGAATGAGAAGGTGATTACATCTGTGGCGGGTGGATTTTGCTGCATTCGTTCTTGGCGCAGAATCCCTTGGACTTTGCCTGTTGAAGCCCTAGGTCACAGCTCTCTCTCTCTCTTTCTCTCTCTGTATTTCCTAAAATCTAGTATATATTTTGGTCCATTTTCTAAGCCTTATTCCGGTTATGCTTGTGTTTATATATAGAAGTTGAATTCTGAGCCTTATTCAAGTGTTCATGTTTGTGATAGTTTTTCCTCTTTGTGCTGAAAAGGGGTTACTAGAGAACATGGACAAGGATAGAATCAAAAGGCTCGTAAGGTTGAAACCTCCAACTGAAGTTTGAAGCGGAATCTTCTCACCCCCCTCTTATCTATTGAAAGAGGACAGTTGGGTCAAGGCTGTGTATCATTTTTGCATCTCATGGTTGGTGTATTCTGAAACTTCATGAACTTTTCTGTTCCTATGTATGATTTTCTGGTGTTTAGAAATAGTTATTGCAATGCTCTTTTGTGTGTATTTCTCACTTCAGAACCTGAATTTGGGTTGATTCTCTATTTTAATGTATGTTTCTATGAAATACCATGATCGTATTGTTTAAGATTTTGGACTCTATGAATTGGGATGTTTCTTCTGTATTTAAACCACTTCCACTGTAACCCTAACATCCATGATTTCCTAGAATGGAGCAGAATATTTTTAGTACTAGTTAGAGGCTGCAGCTATTGCCAAAGCATGGGAGGTCCAAAATAAGTGCTTTGACCAGTTGTGCAGCACAACTGATTGAAGCACTGGTTGTAATAACCTCTCTTACTTCAGCTATAGCCATGGCTTTATTTAGAGCATACTCTTTATACATAAGCCATCCGAACCATTTATAGAGATTTCTAGAAGGCCTAAGCATGACTCCCCTGTGGAAATATGTTCTTCCTCACATAGAATTGTCTGCATGACTTTTTACTTTTTGAAAGAACAATCTGATTTCTCAACAACATCAAACTTAGTACAGGAAGGTTGCACTTTAGACACTATTGTACTAGATTGTAGAACTCTAGGTAGGGAAGTTATTGAAATTTTGTGGTATTATGGGTAGATTAGGTGTAGTGGACATCTCAAGTATTGAAGATTTTCTGCACTTTTTATCATGTACAACTGGAACCTCTGAAAAGTAAAAAATTTGATTAAATTTCTTTTCTCCTAATTTGTAGCTATTCATGATGCCAATTTACTCTTTATGACTTGTATATCTTAATCGTTTTGAAATGCACAACTTTTGCCACTATGTATAGATGTATGCAAGTAATCTTGGCCATATGTTTCAGAACCAGTGTTTAGTGTGGTATTAATAGAGTGAGTTATGTTGTTTTCAAAACCAGTGTTTTGTGTATACGTGTTTATATATATATGTGTGTGTGTGTGTGCGCCTCTATCATAAAGAATAAACCAAGAAACAATTTTACATTGCAGAATCCTTTCAGCCCCCATATGCAAGACCATTCTCTATTATTTTCTTTCCCCCTTTGTCTTCTTTTCTTTGTCTTAAAAAAAATATAAATAAAAAAAGAACCATGAAAGCCTCAAAGCATTCCATGTGTTAGCTTTTTCCCTTCTAATTTTCTTTCTTCCTATCCTTTTAAATTTCTAAAATTTCGACACTTTCGAGACGTGATTGGAGGAGAGGTGTGACATAGATTGGAACTTTGTTCCTTATCTGATGATTCCACTTGTATAAGCGCTACTTTTTCATTCTAGTTTAAATCCACCCATCCTCTGCAGCACGAAAAAAATGAATAAAAAAGAAGGAATAAACAGAAAATATATGATCTCAAGGATTGGGTTCCATAGTTCCTACTTGGCAGAAACGTTATAAATTTGAGCCAACTTCATTGTGCTTAAGTTCACATGATTACAAAATGTTCTATCAAAACAATTTTCACATGTTCTTACCATCAAAAGTGGTAATTTTTAATTCACAGACTCGAAATGTTGGACCAAAATTGATCATCTATGTCCTCAACATTTTTTGTAATGGTTACTGCTAATCTTTATAACCTGAATGCATTCACTTATCAAGCCCTTGTATGTAACCTTATATAAGCAGGTGGAATGAGAGATTTGTTTGGTAGTTCTCATGATGCATCTGGTGGAAATGTTGTTCTAGCAAGACCTAACCTTGATAGGATCAGGCATGAAGCAACTGATAGTGGCCGTGGGAGGCATATCCTAGTCAGAAGGCAACCATTTTCTCCCGAAGAAGGATTTAACGAGCCATTTGTTGGAAGGCACTTTGATGACTACTACTTTTATGACGACAGTTCACATGGGATAAAACGACCATTTTTCGTGATAGTAAGCTGGACTTCATTTAAGTTTCTTTTTTTGTTGAAGTATTATTGTTTTGAGATTTCTGTCAGTGTCGCACATAACGTAACTTGTTTACGTGTTTTTTTTTTTTTTTTGCATTAAGAACCATGATCCTGATTACATGGAGCCTAGCAGACTTAGACCTCGATTAGATTATTCTGATCTAGCAGCTCACGTACATCGCTATCAAGGTATGGATTTTGTGCCCAATGTTCCTTTTTCCCTGCTTGTTTGTATGGATTTTTTTTTATCCGATTGCTCATGCTCTTGTCTCTTTTTGTTTTAGATTCTTTTGGAGCTGGCAGTAGTCTCTACTCATACGATTATTATGGCTCTGATGTGAGCACTCATAGCTTACTTTATGTTTATTGGTTCACGTCTTACACTTTACCATACTTTTGATATTCTACCTTCTGTCATGTTACAGTATGGTGAAGACTCATATTCATCTTTTTATGGGAATGATCACCCATATGGAGGTGGCTATTACTACTAGATTTGAGAGGCTTTGGTAATTCAAATGTCCTACCTTCCTAATTTTACTGCTGGCTGCAATATTGTTCTATTAATATTTCTAAGGCTCTTGCAGGTGGACCAGGGATGGTGGGATGGACATCACTCAATGGTGGATTGAGGACATCACTGTAATATTACTTATTGTGGAATGCAGTCGTGTAAAGATTATGGCTAACTTTTGTTTTTGTAACCCACGGAAGAATTATAACGAAAACTTTTGTTTTTGATTTACGCTATTTAGATTTGTGAACAACATTATGTATGTATTATGCAACATTATGTAGTAAGATAATTTTGCTGATGTTTTATAATGAATGGAAGAATATTTTAATTATGGATGAATTTTTATTTATATACTGGACTTTTTATATTATTATGTAATTATTGTTTTTTTTATAGTTATTTTTCATTTAATATAGGTCATTTTCATATTTTTAATAATTTTATTACAGTTATTTTTTTTATTTTTTTTATTTTTTTTTTTTTTTGTTACAGTATGGTGAAGACTCATATTCATCTTTTTATGGGAATGATCACCCATATGGAGGTGGCTATTACTACTAGATTTGAGAGGCTTTGGTAATTCAAATGTCCTACCTTCCTAATTTTACTGCTGGCTGCAATATTGTTCTATTAATGTTTCTAAGGCTCTTGCAGGTGGACCAGGGATGGTGGGATGGACATCACTCAATGGTGGATTGAGGACATCACTGCAATTTTACTTATTGTGGAATGCAGGCGTGTGAAGATTATGACAAACTTTTGTTTTTGTAACCCACGGAAAAATTATGACGAAAACTTTTGTTTTTGATTTACGTTATTTAGATTTGTGAATAACATTATATATGTATTATGCAACATTATGTAGTGAGATAATTTTGCTGATGTGTTGTAATGAATGGAAGAATATTTTAATTATGGATGAATTTTTATTTATATACTGGACTTTTTATATTATTATGTAATTATCATTTTTTTATAGTTATTTTTCATTTATTACAGGTCATTTTCATATTTTTAATAATTTTATTACAATTATTATTTTTATTTTTATTTATTTTTTTGAGACAGCACCACACACACCGTCTCAAAAGAAAAATGGTACCAGGTTTTTTTGCGACGGCAGTAATGCTGTCGCAAAATATAGTGGAATTCGTTGAAACGGAAGACCTTTAGCGACTGTATTATTTGCCGCCGCCAATAATACTTTAGCGACGACATCAGGTGCTGTCTCAAATAACCCTTTAGCAACGGTATTTTTGCCGTCGCAAATAACCCTTTTAGCGACGGCAACATAGTGCTGCCTCAAAAAATCTCAAATTTTCACGCATTAATGCCGACAGCATTTTTCCGTCGCAAAAAGGCATTTTTGCCGTCGCAAAAAAAAGGCGACGGCGTTATACCGTCGCTAAACCCTTTTGCAACCTCCTTTGTTGAGACCCCCAACTTGCCGTCGCTAAAAGCCAGTTGCCGTCGCAAAAAACCTTTTGAGATGGCATTTTGGGTATTTGTGACGGCATTTTGCCGTCGCAAAAAAGCAATTTTTTTGTAGTGAATGTCTAATTTTCGTTACTAAAAATATAATAACGATACTTTTCGCAACAAAAACATTTAGTCCCTAAAAAATAATTTTGTCCCTAAATTTTGATCTCCAAAACTTTAATTTTTTTATAGTGAATCTTAAATCAACTCAATTCATCTAAGAAACAATGATTATAAATAAGTAATGATCCTAATAATATTTTAAAATTGTTGCATCCCAAATTATGCCTTTAGCCATTAAAAGAATGACTAATAAAGTTACTCTATGAGAGAGATTTCAAAACTTTCTTAAATAGCTAGTTTCATTAGATTGGAAGGAGAAATTTTTGTGTCTCAATAGGGTATGATGTGGTATTACCTTTCATTAATCATAAATATAGTGGATCTTATTATCAAAACCAATCACAATAGTAGAAGGTACCACATTTTTTTTAACGGCAATCAATGGTGTCATGTAGAAAGTACTACATGACATATATCTTATCCACATACAAAAATTACTGTGGAAAGATTACAATTCAGTATGGAAAACCGAAAGGTGTTATGAATTGGTGATATTTTTTTAGGTTCAAATCTTGATTATGTTTAACATTTAAAAAAAAATTCTACCAATTTATAAATCTTTACCCTAATTTTTCAGTGATAAGATTTAGTATTTCCCCTTATTAGATTCTGCCCCTATCTAGCCAGTCATCTTATTAAAATTACATTTCAGGAATGTTTTCAAAAAGTATTACACATTAGTGAAAAAATTTATAATTTTAATTATTAATATTTATAATATTTATTTTTTTTTGTTAATAAATTTTTTTGACTGCCACTAATGTGTAATTCCGCCTTAAACTTTTGATTTATAGAGAGATATGCAGATGGCTTGCGTGTCCAAACTGAGAGTTGTTAGTTCACCCTATTATCCCTTTGATAGGAGCCAGCAAGAATGTGACTTGACATTTAACAGTTCAATTATTGAAAGCAACTTATGGATCAATACGGCCGTTCTAATTGGTAGGGAGTTACTCCTCCACTTTTTACCATTCAAGCAAAAATTCGCGGTGGAACGGTTAGTTTTTTTCAATTTGACTTAAAAAAGTGGATCTTAAGAAGTTTTTGGGGGTAATGTTTTAAAAATCGGACCAGTGAGTGAATTAGAAAAGGGACTGAGTAGACGGGTCGCCGGTTCAACCATCGGGTCAAAGCAGTAAAACTGTGAAGTCATAATTACATCATAAATATATTTAAATATATATATATATATATATTAAAAATATAAGTATAAAAATGAAAAAAAATAAAATTCAACAAAATAAAATAATTTTCAAAACATTTGTAAGATGAGTATACATATATTTATTTTTGTAAGATGAGTGCCAGAATATATAATTAAAAAATTAGTTCACCAAACCATTAACTAACAGCTATGAAATCAGAAATTTATAATAAAAAATATTTATGAAATTTTTAAATTTATTATAAAAAATATTTATGAATTTTTAAAAATATTTAGTGCTATATTGCTATTCCATCATTGACTTTTCTTTGCCTCAATACTTTTTGTTTTGTTTGGACATGATAATGACTATAAAAATAAGCATTAAACAACTTACAAAAAATAACGGCAAAAAAGGGAAGCAATAGAGTCAGAAACAGAGTACCAAAGAAGGGAAAATAAAGATGAAGAAAACTGGCTGGTTCTATTAAAACCCAGTTCGGGTCGCCAAGTTTGACGGTTGAATCGGCAGTTCTTCCGATTCTTTCATTTTACACCGATTTTGAACTATGTCTGGATTTAGAAGGTGTTTTGGATCGACACAAGGTCCGATCTCTGGTCCAACCGGCTGGTCCGGTCTAGTTTCTAAACATTACTTCAGGATGTCCTGGACATTAAAAAAAAAAAAGAACAAAAAAAGAAAATTATGGATCAACATCCCAATAGGAAAAGTAGCTTCAATGGGTTTTCATAGCCACAAATTTGGCATCTTCTAAAAGGTGAATCAATATAAGGTTCACATGCATGGTGTCACAACCATAAATTAAAATTTTAAAAATAATTTTTTTTTAGAACAAAATAATTTTATTGTAAAAAATGTCATTTGTATTTTTAGCGAAAAAAATTAAATATTTAGTGATAAATTATTATCTTTTAGGATTAAATTTTTTATCTCAAAGGTTTTGGGAACAAATTATTTTGTATTTAAAAGTGTATTTATTTTCGACATTTTTAACATTTTGTTGTTAGAAGTCATTTTTCTTACTTTTTGGGACAAACTTTTAGCAATTATCTTTCCAATGGCAGGAATTAACCCTCAAATTTTTTTTTTCTTTCTTGTTTTTGTTTTTTGCAACAAAGCATTCACTTTTAAATATTAAAAAATTTAGTTCCTAAAACTCTTATTTGTTGTAGTGTCCACTATTTGGTTTTGGGTTTTCTATTTTTTATAAAATTTTTTTTTGTCTTTAGTTAGTATGTTTTTATATTTTAATCTACTTTTTATTTTTATATTCACATCATCTAAACAAACTTAGAAAGCAACATATTTATGAAAAAAATTTAAATTTTTTTATTGAATATAAAAAGTGTGAAAAATAAAAAAATACATTTTTTAAAATTATTTTTGTATGTAGTAAAAAAAAATTAAATTTCTTTACAAATATTTTAATTTTAGGTATATCTAGATTAAATACATTTAAAAAGTAAAAAAAAAAAAGAGGAGAAATTTCATTGCAGTGGAAGTGTTGAAAAATAATTACAAATAAGTGGTAATTTTTATAAATATTGATAATTAAAAACTTAAATTATTTTAAGAATTTGTAATAATTTTTTGAAATTAACACTGATTAGTAATTTTCTCAAAAAAAAAAAATTAAAATATAATTTTTTACCACAGAAAAAATAAAATAAAATAAAAACAAAAAAAATAATTTTAAAAATTAAACCAAATAAAGTAGCTTGCCAATGCTTTGTTTATGCGGAGATCTACGGTTAGGAGATGGTGTGGTTGCTTGGTGGGAGGCACATTCGTCATTGTTGTGTCGTAATTGAGCTTATTTTGAAATTTATTTTAATAATCCGTATTGTTCACCTTTTAAGGTACACTGAGTATAATATATTTGTAAAAAATTAAATTAATCGGATATTAATAACCCTTTCATTTTGTATTTATAAAAATAAATAATAAATATGATTTGAAATATAAAACGGAATATAAATGTGATTTGAAGTATTAATATCATGACAATGCGATTTTAACATATCTTCAACAATTAGCTAGATAGGGAAATGAATATTAAAACAAGAAGTAAAAGATTTTGATTATGTAAATTTTTTTTGAACAGTTTAAACTATCCACTTGCACATCATATCTAAATTAGGTCACAACTAAAATATAAAAACATCAAAAAATCTTATAAATAATTATCACAAGTTTCATAGTCAAGTTCATTACAAAATCTCATAATTAAAGCATATGATACACACTCTTTTTTTATTATTATTTATTATATTTTTTTTATGATTTGGTATCAACCATCCCATAGATGAGGCTGTATTATTGAATTCTTCAAGTCTAAATCAAATGATTAATTGACTTCTTTACTCCAACTATTTCTTTACGAAAATGTGTTTGTTCACAACAATTATTTTGATTTTGGGATGATTTTATAAACCACTGCATGATTTTATAAACCCCGCATGAGAAACTCATAATGCCAAACCAACCGGGAAAAAAAAAAAAATGTGAGTCATTTGGTCCAAATTCAATAGCCATGATGTTGATTTTTTTTTTTTTTTTTAGTTTATGTACTTGCAAATTGTC